GAAGAAAGGAAGAAAGGGAATCAGGCTGAATGAGCTCAGCCGAGAGCGGCAGCAGTTCCTAGGAGACGCAGGTGCAGACGAGAAAGAGCGGAAAGCCTGGCTGGAGAAAGGCGCCGTGCTTGATGGCAGGATCATACTCCTCGCCAGCTCTCATCTCGGACGGGTCAGGCTCCGGCTTCTCTTTCTCTTTCGTCAGAGCTATCCTCCTCTTCTCTCGCTCCTCCTTTTTTCCAAGACCCCGCCGATTGAAAAACTGGCTCGCCTCAGCTGCTCTCTGTGCATCTCTCTCTGGCTCCAACTTCATTCTCGCCATTGACAATCTTCTGACTCCGTAGCTGCAGGCTTCTCCAACTCACTCTCTGGCTTCTTCTGCTTTTCTTCCTCATGTTCTGCGTATTCCTCATCTTGCTGCTGCTGCGTTATTTTTACTCGGTGGCAGGGGGCTTTTTTCAGGTCTATGAACCCAGTGCCTACTGCTGCTGGCATGGCATCCATCAACTCTCGCTCCTCGTTGATGATGGTCCGTTGCTTCACCTCCTCGTCAAAGGCTCGGCTGAGATGCTCGGGGCTCACTGCTAGTAGCAGTCTTCGGTGCTAGATCGTGCGGGTCCCTTCGTTCGTGCTACTCCTCTCAAGCAGTTTGGCCCGGGGTGTCGGGATGCCGCACCATAGTAGAAGCAGCACATGCCAGGTTTCCATGGTCCACGGTGCGGTCGTATCTGTCGAAGCTCTGCTCTCCTCAAAGCGTCAGAGTTTGCTGCTGTGACAAAGGCTTCTCGCGCTGCAAATCGTAGCTGGCTTTTCCGATGAAACCTTGTCCCAGGTGTAGCTGCCAAGGCTTGAGCTCCGACTTTCATCACTTCCGCATCGTCGGCCAGGGATGCTGGTAATCTCACATCTCGCCCTAAAACCCACTGTGTCGGTCGGCGAGAATCCTCCTTTCCTTGCCAGGCTATTCTTCGCCTGGTTGACAGCTGCTGTTGCATATAGAACTTCATCTCTTCCCAGCCACCTGACTCGACCACGACATCTTCCGAAAGGTCTCTTCCCACAAGCCCCCATGTCGTTCAACTTGTCCGATCTGCCATGGGGATGCTTTTGCTGCCGTGTCGAAGTGGCATCCGTGGTCACTCAACTCTTCCGCGAAGTCTGCAAGAAAGTACTCTGCTCTATCTGCGATGACGCCGACTTTGAGAAAACCAGCACAGCTCGTCCATCCTGTGTGGAACACCTAAAGCCGCAAATGCTCCTTTCATCGCCAAAGCGTAGTCCAGGCTCAGGCTTTCCAGTAAACCTCGACATATTGTTCGACATTGTCCAACTGGGTATGCAGGCCTGCTGCGATCTGAGGCCGAACTTGTTGCTTCCGACGATGGGCTGATGTTGTCCCCAAGCGCACTTGCATCTCTTGCCGATGGTGTTGAGGATGAACTCGTTGTTGCTCATCCATCCCGTCGCTTTCTGAATGGGCCGCCCGGATTCGGCATCTTTCTTTCCGAGCGCGCATTGATCTCCAACTGCAAACTTGCCATCCGCGACATCCATCAGCTCTTTGAGGATGTCGTTGTAGGGCCATGCTGCAGATGCGACGGGCTTTTCAAGCAGGTAGTAACGCCCTCGTTGATGCTGTCGCTCGCAAGCTCGCTTGGCTAACTCCAAAGTTCTTCTCCCAATGCTTCTCCTCATGGAAGCCCAGTCAGTGCCCGGGTTCATGTTCGTCATGAGGGACCACATCTTGCACGGGAAAGCCAAGACCACGAGGACCGGATCATGTTAGTCAAGACCACCTGTCGTAAGTCATAGCCGTCCAGCATGCCCATTGGCTGACTGTTCATCCACCCAAACTCCGACGCTCCGACGCGCGTGATGCCAAAGCTGCGGCCGAAAGGCTCGAAGATCATCGTCGTAGTGAAGTCCTGCGTGGCCCACATCTCCGCCATGCTATACTCCCTCTTGAGTGCTATCCATGTCCGGCGGTCTTCTGCTCGAATCTAGTAGGCCTTCTCCTCTAACTCTCTCTTCTCGTTGAAACTTCGCCATGACAATCACCTGGTTTGATTCCTCGATATCCCAGATCCGGCAACCTCTTCTCACCTCGCCTCTGCTTGGCTCCTCCACCAAACTTGGCGTCATGTCATACTCCAGGATCAAGGCTTTTGCTTTCTTCTTGTAGTAGACCATGAGGTCCGCCTTCTCAGAAACGATGCTCGGCTCGATCTCCTCGCTGATCTCCGCTGAGGGGGTTTTTGCCGTGTCGTACGCCACGTTGACCGCCAGGCGCTAGGTCCTAGTCAACCACGGGAAGCTTCAGGTTCAAGTTCTTGATGATCACCTGTCGCTCTCGCAGATGTAGCACCATATCCAATGCGGTCATGGCTTCTGTGATCTCTGCCGGCCTCTTCTGTTGCCGCAAAACACCGGGATCCTCCATAATTACCGTAGCGCTCTCCGCTGTTGAAGACCCATTGGCGAAGTGGAAGACTTTGCTTTGCCCCGTGGATTCACACCGAAGCTCTCCCGGCAGGGATTTGTCATAGGCCATTCTCCACCGCTGTGAATGCATGCAAGCCGTGCGTGCCGAGTCCAGTAGACAAAGCTTGGACTCATCCACTTCCTTCTCCGAAAATCCGTCCAGTCGATGATGTCCTGATTGTGGCTCATCTGCGCTGGACTTCTGCTTTGAATTCGATCTGCTTGGCTGTGGGAATGCAGGTTCATTGGGCGCAAAGGTTGAATTCTGGTCGTGCATTGTTTCCTCCTCGGCCACCACGAAAGCAGTGGCCGATCTTGCCACATGACGCGCACCGCTTTCTGGCCTTCTCCTTCTGCGCTGCTTGCTTCCTCTCTTCAAAGTTGAGCTCGCCCTTCAGGTCGCCGCGGAAAAAGCCTCGGCTTTTCTGAATCTCTTTCAGCTTCTTGCGGCTATCCGTGTAGCTCCTCCTCTGCTTGTCCATGGTGGCGTAGGCTTTGTAGGCTTCGTGATTGTTCCGCCTCCTCTTCCTGCGCCTCCTCACGGACTCCACAGCATAGGCCTCCTCGCCGTAATCATCCTCCAGCTCATGGTTTTTCTCATCTTGTTGATCTTCGTCCTCATCCAACACCGCGTGAGCATAGTATCGTCGCTTGCCCTGGCGCTTTGACGGCTTCTCCCGTGTCTGTCAAGGTCTGCTGTGCTTCTCTCTCTCTCACATGGGTGTCGTAGAAGCAAACCCGCAAGGCTTTCTCGATGCCCTCGACGGTGTAGCTGGATTGATGTGCGAGAAGTATCCTCAGGCGATGTGCTTCAGCAGGAAGAAGGCTCTCAGATCCTCGCACATCTCCACGCCTTCGCTGAGGTCAAGCAGATCAGCCCAGTCCTCGCTGCGCTTTAGTAGGAACTCGTCGATGGACTGACCCTTCTTCCTATAGCAGTGCTCGAAGAACTGATCGAAAGCCTCAGTCATCTTGATGACGGAAACCTTCTCGATCGCTTGCAAGGCTTTGAGGATGTGCTTGAAACCTTCTGGCTCCTGCAACTTCTCCGGCTCCGTCGTCAAATCCTGGCAAATCCGCCATGCTTCTCCGTGCAGAGCGTCCAGAAGCCTATTGGCGAACCGTTATCCCCTTCCAGACTTGCAAACGCGAGTAAAACTCGGCGCCTGTAATCTTTCATCAGCTGTGGCCGGGCAGCGCTCCCTCTGCTCAGATGCTCCATGGCGCTGCGCCGGCCGTTACCGGCTCCGCTACCAGTGCAAAAGCACGGCGCAAGGCGCAAGCCAAGATGCAATGTCTGCGCAATGCGTTGCGCTTGCTATGTGTCTGCTCATGCAAATGCCACGTGCCTCACGCGGGCCGGACCGGTCACTGGCGGGCCCTTGACAGGCGCACCACGAAGCTCAGGCCGGCTTGATGCAGGTCCGAATCAAGGTCCATGCTGCGCACGCCAACTGCTCGCCGCAGCAACACGGCTGCCATTCAGCACCCAAACACCCTGAAACAAGTCAGAGCATGTGAGAAAGCCCGGAGCCCGATGACTGAGATGCGCGTGACCCCTAAAAGGCGCAGCCTCACATTCAATCTTGAGAGCCTCCAAAGCTGAAAGTATTCCGACGGAACTTTTGAGCCGTTCTTCCTCTGGCCCTTTGTTGGGAGCTGCGACGGGGTCTCCTTCTGCAAAATGCCACTGGGCCTTGCTTCTCGGAACTAGCACATCTCAATCTTGGGCCCGACTTGGAAAAACCCACATGGCTTGTATTTACCATCTGTACATGATGTATTGTACTCATAAATGTCATGTGTGTCATACATGTGATATGTGAGTTTGCTGTTTTGGTACCGGTGTGCGGGGGCTTTTGGAAGGGAAGCCATCCTTTTTTGGGGGCGTCCTTTTTATTGAAATCTCAAGGAAATTCGCGTGTTTTGAAGGTACTTACTCTTTCAGAAATGACACCATGCTTGGCGGATTTGAGCGAACACCCAAACGAATCCAAAAGTGGGATCGGTGGGGCTCGGGGTGTCCCTTGGCAAATCCGCGCACCTCGTTTCTATTCGCGACCCAAGGATCCAGGGTAGCAATTGAACAACAGAACGGGACCCATGAATAGCACTCTGAGGGGATCGCTTCGGAAAAAGCATGGCACACGTGGCAGGCCGGTAGCTGGCCCTTTTGCAACTTCTTCGCGGGCACTACGGACTATGCGTCGCCCAAGCTTGTAAACAACCTGGCATCTTGCAACACATAGGGGATCCACACCCAAACAAACCTTGCTTCCCTTCCAGACGGAGTTGGGAACTGGAAAACAGTCACAGCACAGGCACTTCCAAAATAAATGCCTTCCGTCAATTAGACCACATATGAAACGCAAAACACACCTCTTGGCCACTCGAGGATACTGGCAGCATTGTTGCACCTTGTCATTGTCACCCCAAAGTCGTAGTTTACAGACCACACCCAGGTTCTGAGCCCTGGAGACGGTCAACACCATTGTCTCGAGTCTCCTTACTGTCCTTGGTTGATTCCATCCAGACTTGCGACATGTCGAAAGTCCGCGGAGCCCAGCCGAAGTCCGACTACGTCAGGACGCCGCTAACAAGGGCGGTCGAAATGCAAAACGAAGTGGGTAAGGGCCCCATCTTGTCAGGGGGAAAAACCGGCCATTTTCTTTTGGGGGTGCCCTTCGGGACACTTTCAAACCATGCATCCGAATGATGCGCGGGACGCGGCAGAAAAAAATGCTAGACATCGCGCAGGCATGTGGAGATCGGGACAGGCACCCAAGGCACTTGACAATGTCTCCCAGGGCAAAATGCGCACATGGGCTGTCCAACTGCTGAAAACCCGTTAGGGAACATAATTGAAATGGGTTGCCTCCTGCAAGCTCTCGATTGAACAAATCGCTGATGCATCCTCCTGCAAGTTCCATCTTCGAAACGGACGTGATATGTTGTCCCTTGCTCGAAAAACCGGTGTGAACATCTTGCACCATTGGCATTTGGCGAGATCCACCCAAGACGGCGCTTGGGTACTTGGAGTGGGTCAAGTCTTCCACCGCTGAAAAGCCAGTCTCAGCCACTTTTTGCGGATGTGGAGGTGGTGGTTTCATGCGCCGATGGTTTGCTGGTCCTGCTGGCTTCAGACACAGCTCTGCTGGAGTTGCACGGCACCGCTTTCATCATCGAGAAGAACTCGGGGAAATCCTCGGGGAAGCGTCGGAGTTCGCCCCGAGAGCTGAACCAAGGTACCCTCGAAGAACCAAGGACACGTCCGAAACGGCTGCAACATCATCCATCCCAAAGACCCTGTGCAAGGCGGCGCGTCACCGCGATCATCTTGAACAAGGCCCTTGGAAGTTTCGCTGTTCCAAGACCTTCCCAAATGTACCTGTGAGCAGCTTGCCCACCACCTGGCGAGGCCCATTTCACCCGTCACATACTTCAATAAAGCCAAGGCGCGATCATGCCATCGTTGTTGGTGTCCAGGTCCTGAGTATCTGCTTGCAAACTCGCAGTTTGAGAGCGAACCTGCTCGCTGAATGTTGTTGGTTCCCAACCAAGGACGGCCAGGTGGCTATTTTTGAGAAGTTTGGGAGTTGTCAAACATGTCAATGAGCACTGCGTTTGCGCTGCGTCACCGGGAGCGGCCGGCACTCACTGGCGACCATCAAAAGCACTTTTTTGCGACCATACGGAATTCACCTACTCGCGACCATGTGCTTTTGAAAGCTTAGGCTTTTGAAGGTTTCGTTGTTTTAGGCTGTAAGCTTTCCAGGATTTAAGTTTTGCGCGGTTCAGGTTTTTAGGGCTTAGTTGTTTTAGGGTTAAGGTTGTTTGGGGCTGAAAGAAAAATGGTAGCTGCAGATTCCTGGGTCCAGATTCCTCAAGACACGGTATTAAGGAAGCTGCATGACGGTGCAAAGAAACCATAATGCCCGAATTAACAATTATGGCACACCCGCTTCTTTGATGAAACATCCGGAAAAAGTAGCAAACAATGCAAAGAAGCCGGGGCACCAGGAAGGGGGGTAGCATTTTGTCAGATACTTGTCTATTTGGAACTCGGCCGTTTCCAGAAACAAGGCCCGTCGGGTACGAGAAGGAAACCTCATATCATGCGCCGCACGCTTGTAATCACTTTGGGTGTCTGATGGATTCTTGGGAGTCGCTGCAGCAGCAGTAGCAAAACCTTCTTGCTTCTCTTAGCTTGCTTGCGCTTGCAGCGCGCCGCGCTCAAGCCGGTTCCTTTGCCAAGCTGAGCTGGGCTCAGATGAAGTGTTCGCCAACGTTCGCCAAGTCAAAGTCGGTGACTATCCATGTTGAAGGTTTCATCAGCGAATGTTGGGGATGCAGCTGTTGTGTCAGGCAAGGTGTGTCGTTTTACAAGGGCTGTAAAGTGCCCAGTAAAGCTTATTAAGACTTTACTAGTGCTGTAAGGGCTCATCATTTTCTGGGAGGTCCATCCACGAAACAGCGTAAATACCACGCAATTTGCACCTTCCGGCCCCTTCAAATTTGGGCACTCTTTCATGTCAAAGGTGAACACAAGCCTGGTCACCCTAGCTCAGGAAGGCCAGTTTTGAGGCACGAAGCTGTTGTGATGTTTGTGTCTGGCTTCGGTTCAGCTGCATTTGGTCAGTAGCTAAGTTTTTACCAAACGCAACGCCTACGTGTGTGCTTGTCAGACAGCCCAACTCCTTGTTGGGAAGAGTTGTCTCTCCTGGAGAAAAAGCTGCCTTTGAAAGGAACATCCAGCAACATCACAGTTACAAAATGTTCAACATGTGTGAGACGTCATCACAATTAGGTGACTTCTTCTTGTTGTCGGTCTTCTGCATTTTCGAGGTTGGTAGTTCGTCGGCCTTGCTCTTCTGGACAGGTTCATTGTGAACAGAAGGTGGCGAAGGTGCCACAACAACCGGGCGAGTCGGCAATGAGCCCACTCGCGGGTGCAAGGGTCTGCCTTCACCTGCCCAGGCCTGGTGTCAGGCATACGTTGATCTGGCTGTTGGAGGCTGCCCATGCAACGCAGGCTGTGGGTGTTGAGGATCCGTTTGCGGATCTTCGTCGACAGGCATTTGCGTACATCCGCACACATGATCGCGTGCCACTGGGATGGTTCAAACTGTTCCCAATGGCGCTTGTAAGCTGGCATTGCCAAACGGATGCGCACACACACACACACACACACTTCTCGGTGGGGGGTATACGCCGTGTTGAATGTTGATTGTGCCACAAGCTGCCACACACTTGCTAAATGGTGTTGAAGCCACATATTATGCCAGCTAATTTTGCTTGGGATCTGCCGTGGAGCTTTTGTCCAAGTAAGTCATGTATAGGCAGAGGTCGAACTTCCCGGCTGAAGGGTACGTGCTGAATCTTGACCGTTGCTATGCTGAACTCAGCCTCGTGTCTTCCATCTCCTTCCTGGGAAACGCATCCAATATGTCTTCCAAGAAGAGTACCCCTTAGCTTGACCTTGAGATGACGAATCAGGATGCGTGCAAGACCCCGTTGCCTTGAAGCTGTTGGTGCTGGCGCTTCATCTTGCTGGTGAAAGGTCTCGCATCTCAAATTGGGCGTGTGACTTCACGTGGCAGGCTGTCGAGTAAACTAGTCAGCTTCAGACTTCTGAGATAGATTTTGAGATCACGCAAATCAAGATCGCCGACGTGTCGTGATGAAAAAAGATGTTGGGTGATCGGTGTTCCTCTTTTGAAGGGTCGAAAACCACCTCGTCGGCGATTGCTTCTTTTGCTTGTTGGTCTTCTTTTTCTTCGCCCTACCTTTTACACTCTGCCCGGACACCTTGGACAACTCGAAGCGTCTCTTTGCCCTCGTAACGTTGTCTTCGACACTGCGCCTCTTGACCTTCTCGCGTGTTTTGGCCTGGTCTCATCCTCTCCGTGGCATAGCCCGCCTGCACTTGCCAAAGCGCGTTCAGCCGATTGCAGCAACACACACGAGCTGCTCACAAAAGAATGGAACGCCATCCTTGGCCGTTGGAGCCACAAGGCAAGGAGAGCAAAGCCTTCCCAGCTCACTGTGTTGCGCTGGAACTTGGTCGAAGGTTGCGGTCCTTGCTGGATGCCCTTGCGCTGTAACAGCTGGGAGCTCGTGATACGTTGTCTTAAACATCTCGAATGCATCCTTGTCTCTGCTCCTTCTTCCAACGTGCATCCTCAATGTGTCTGGATCGTGAGGACCTGCTCGGAGCGGCGCTCTGGCTGCGGCAGATTGGCGATCCTGAGCTGCGTTCCTTGTGTTGAGTTCGCGGAGCGAAGAGAAAGTCTGGCGATTGCGCCGCAATCTCTGACATCAAGTCGATCCACGCTGCCTTGAGTCTGTGAAGCAGTATTTCAAACTTGGAAATTCGTGCGAGGAAGTCGTTGTTGCCTCTCCGATGGTTGAAGAAGCTGCGAAGGCTGCGCAGACACACGATTGCATTTCCATTGAGGAGCTTGGTCTTGAATGGGCTGGGTCGTTGAGCTCCACGTTGTCCAGCAACTCGAGGCACATGGTGGCTTCACCACTCAGTCTGCTCTCGAGAAATGGGTCGCGTGTTGGTGCTTTTACCAAAGCGACGTTCAACCAGTCGCCAATAGGTTCTCCAATCAAACAAGCCAAAGCGTCCACCAACAATGGCAACCCGGCGGAGGCAATGAAAAGTTTGACTAACGACGAGGCACGCACTACAACAGTGGTGGGCTGATGCTAGGCGCACGGACCCCTGGCAGCAATGACATTTCACGGGACCTCTCCCCAAGAGCAGGCTCACAGGCGCCGCCGCGAACTGCTCGACAACGCTCAGCTCACACATCCAACTGAAGGAGCCATCTACTTCAAAAAAAACACGCTGAAGAAGTACTTCCTAAAGGGAGCTACGAGCGTGCATGTAGCTTGATCAACTCCTAGTTTCTTCACACAGGAAACACAACGCCGAGTTCCTCATTTTTCCAAGATTGAAGTTTTGCTGACAAGATTCAAACCAGCATGGAAAGATCTGACGCCCGTCGTAACGGCACAGTCGCCTGACTACATCCAACCAGTGCAGGGTGCAAATGTCAGGAGAGCTGCGCAGCAGCAGCAACCTGCCGAAATTCCTGAATCTTGATGAGCCAGAAACTTTCCGACAGTACGATCACTCAGGCGAGGGGACGTGCAATTCCGCCACGGACACGGCGCATGCCTACATCGCCACCCAGGCATGACAGATCCTGCACCAAACCACAGCCCCAGCTGGCTGTTCAAGATGAAGGGACACTGGACGCATCAGGGTGTGTCAGGGTGTAAAGGCAAAAGTCAATGATCTGTCCACCCAAGCCTGCCAAACTGTTTGCACACGCATCACTGCCCTCCCCTTTGGGCGCAAAATTATCTGCTCATTTTCGCTCGTGGTGAGATGTCAGCCAAACCAACCCGTCCCCCAATTATTCCAGGGGAAGGGACTGGCATCACGGAGGGGTGGAAATACTCCAATTACTAGGAGGGCAGCGCGCCTCGGAAGGTGCCAGAAAACCAAGCGCAAGTGCAAATGGTCTACGTGAAACGAGAATCCTCGGCGTCTTCAGCTCCCAACTTTAGCCTTCGCAGGCGCCCACTCCCAACCCGTGCCTCCAACGCGAAACATGTGCATACGCTCATCAACGCCGTTCTATTATCCATGCGCCATACTCCCCGGCGGCCACGAAATGACTTGGGCCTGTTCAAAAGGCGTAAAGCACCACACATTCCAGCTCAGCTATCCTCCGATCGCCGGAGCCCGCAAATCGTAAAGAGCCGCTGGGACGGGCCACGAAGACCACACGCCGCACGGACCTAATCCAGACAACCAAAAATCCGCCGGCGCCTGGCCTTGCAGCCTTGAAGCAGCAAAGACAAGTGCAATTGTCGGCGCAGCTTGGGCGGCGTTGAAGCTGGCCACTGCCAGAGGCAAGCCGAAGAGTAGGTCTGGAAAGCTGGGGCCTTTTACTCGTGGTGCCAGAAGACCACAACGCAGCCGTGAGCCTCGTCTACTCAGAGGGCCTACCACCGCATCAGATTCGATCGCCAGTCCTGATCCGTCACCAGCAGCGCAGCGCGGGTACTCTGCGCGGGTCGGAGAGGCGCACATGGCACTCATGTCCTGCGAGAGGGCTGAACACGCTCTGTCTTCCAGCTTTCCGCCAGGAAAAGCTTCTTCTTGGATGGGCGGCCCACTTGCTATGTAGTTGGCGAGCTTAAGCGATTTGCTAAGCCACTTGCAAGTTGCCTAGCTTGAGTTAGTAAGTCCGCCAAGTCTGACTTAGCGGACTTACAACCTGGCTAAGTCCACTTGGCGAGTTAGAGGACTTAGCTAACTACTTAGAACTACTTAGAGCTGCTCGTGCGTGGGCACAAACACAGCCTCAGAGGCAAAAAACTCTAAGCGAAAGCTACGCGGCCACCTGCAAACCTCAGAGACCGCAACGCCGCAACGCAAGACTTCCACCAAGCCACAATGCTACGCTCAGCTTCGAGAAAAAAATGTAAGCAGCTGCTCAACAGTCTCTGTTCATGCACCCTTCTGTGACTGAGAAGCTTCGGTGTTGCGAGCCCAATGTAAATGTTTGCCCGCGCAAGTGCTCGGCCCAAGAGCTCAGTGCAAGTTGCTCTGCGTGTGCAAGTGCTCTGTGCAAGTTGCGCTGTGCACGCGCGCTGCGCAAGTGTGCAGCACAAACCCGGAACAAGTTTCTATGAGCAAGTTCTCTGACTCTGCGCATTTTCTGTGCGCGCAGCATTAGCCACGACACGGCAACCTTTCGACGTGATTCCAGCTGCCGATCCGGACCTGCGAAGGTATACTTCGCGTAACACTTTCGTGGCTTAAAGTTTTGATCTGCCAGCCAAAGCCTTATGAAAGCGTACGTCGTGCAACACAAAAGCTGCGATCTTCCAGCCCAGGCCCTTCTGAAAGTGTGCTTTCTGGAGCTGCAGAAGTGCACTTTGCAAGTTACTTTCACGCTTCTGCCTTTCTAACTTAGAAGCTGCGGAGACCAAGCAGGATTCCAGCCAGGGGCTGCTTGCTTCCACGCGAGACAATCTTTCAAGCCCGCATTCCGTTTTCACCAGCATTCCGTGCGATCGAGCGCGCCAATCCCCACAAAAAATCTTGCTCGCAAATCAGAAATCGTTTAAAATCATCTGCTGTTGGACATTGACCGCCCCGCAAAGAGTCGGGCGAGAACCGCAGAAATCGTAAAAAGTCCTGTTGTTTCAGGACTGGATCACGGACTTTCACATCAGCCATCCAGACAACGCAGGAAACGTGGACCAGTATGACTAATGGATCGCACCGACGGTTTGGGCATCACCACGCACGCACTCTTCAGCGAGCATTCCGGATGCGATCCGTAATTTTCTCTGCGCAAAGGCCGTGTCAGATTATGACAGGACCTTTCCTGACTGCGCGCCAGCCTATGTCTTCAGAGGATGCAGGAAGCGAACTACGTGGGTGAGGACAGATTGAGGAAATACGACGGCAAGGCAACATGTCATTGCAGACTACCGTAAAGCGCTTTAAGCAGGTATCGACAGTGACTGGCACGTTCCCATTATGGCCTGCGTCAAACGCAAGTTCAAAAAACAGAGCAATCGCAGCGCAAGAGTCAGAACTGGTGGATCCCACCCAGGCAGTGTGACCACAACGGGTGCTACAACAAGACCAACGAAAATGGGGATGGAGAAAGTCTGACAATGACGACTGGTCCACGACAAAAAAAGTGACCAACCAGCCTACATCCTCCTTGTGTCAGCTTGATCGTCTCTAAGACTGGTCCAGTTGCGACATCAACTTCATCGCCGGCAAGACAATCTCTCAAAAGTGAATGAGTCGATTTTTCCCAAAACGACATGGTCCTTATTTTGCACGCCGATGCAGCTTCACAACCAATAAGATACAATTCCATCTTTGACACGTTGCTTGCCATTTCCGGCGCGCGAACTAGAATGCATTTGCAATCAGTTTGTGCGGGCATGTGCGCGAGACTGATCAAACATGTCCGAGTTAAAAAAGCGAGTGACTCCTTCTATCACGTTCAAAACCTGCCCAAGGGCCACAGCAGATGAAAAACATATGGCTACAGTAGAGAGCTTGATATGTCTGTTTTGTGTTCCGTTGTCGAACCAATTGATCTTCATGCAATCAGACATGCGTCACCATGTCATCTGTGGCTCAAAGCTTTTTGTACAGCAGAACCACGCAGTGCGCCGACTGATCCTCGCCTTCAGACAGCACAAGAGCTTACACAGATAGACGCAGGGCCACACAGCGCCCGCTTCGGCCCGAGCCGTCGGTCCCTGAAGCCCTGATCCCCAGACCCCCGCCACCTGAACCCGAACCAACACAACACACTCAACATACTGCAGCCAAACCCTGAACACTGCCCAACCCCATACCAAACTTGAACCAGCCCTAAACGCAAACCCTAAACCTACACCAAGCACACCCTAAACCACCCCTGAACAAGCCTAAGCCAACCTACACACACATCCTAAACCACTAAACACACTCCAAACCAACCCTGAACCAACCTTGAACCAGCCCTAAACACAAATCCAAAACCTGCACTAAGCACCCCTAAGCCACCCCTGAACCAACCTAAAACAACCCTACACACGCATCCTAAACCACAAAAAACACTCTAAGCCAGCCCTGAACCAACCAACACCAACCCAGACCAACCTTGAACCAGCCCTAAACACAAATCCTACACTAGGCACACCCTAAACCAACCTACACACACATCCTAAACCACTAAACACACCCTAAACCAACCCTGAACCAACCCCATACCAACCAGCCCTGAACACCAATCCTAAACCTGCGCTAAGCACACCCTAAACCACCCCCTGCACAAACCACTAAACACACTCTAAACCAACCCTGAACCAACCTTGAACCAGCCCTAAACACAAATCCAAAACCTGGACTAAGCACCCCCCAAGCCACCTGAACCAACCTAAAACAACCCTACACACGCATCCTAAACCACAAAACACACTCTAAGCCAACCCTGAACCAACCAACACCAACCCACCAACCCCAGACCAACCTTGAACCAGCCCTAAACACAAATCCTAAACCTACACTAGGCACACCCTAAACCACCCTACACACACATCCTTAACCACTAAACACACTCTAAATCAAGCCTGAACCAACCTAAACCACCATAACCCATACCTCAACGGGCGGGGGGACTGGCAACCATGCACCTAACGTATACACTCACATAATACACATAGGTGTTCTATGACGATATATCGGCCAGCCCCCCCCCAATGGTATCCCTTTGACTTTTGACTTGGGGGGGGGGTGCCTGCCGGGGTACGACTCTCGAAGCCTTGGCCTTAACCGGAACCCACCAGCGGACCCACAGGGGGGGAGGGGGCGGGGCCCTATGCGGGGGTATATACATATATATATATATATATATAACACATGTCCACGTGTCCACGAGCAGCGGGAGGGTGGAGGAATAAACGGAAAAACGCCCCCCTATTATATTTTTAAGGTGGCGGTCATGTCCTTCGGTTTTCCAAAAGTAGACAATCGTTTTCCCCCTACAACATTCCACTGACAAAGGGGCCAGGGCAATGCAACGTCTTCCCATGCAACAAGAAAGAAGACAATAGAAACCAAAGAGTCAGCTTAAAGGCACCAACTGGCACCCACAGCTGCCTGGCCAGCAAACCTTTTTGAGGCCTGAAGGCCCAAGCGGCAACCAAAACTGCGAAAGTGCTTGGCAAATCCAGGTGGCTCAAAAAATGTTGCTCTGCATACACTCTTGCTCCTGCAACTGTTCAAGGTACATTAACAGCGCCCGTGCTCAGACGCAGCTTCAAAGGCAAATTCACGGCAGCCAACTGTCAAGTGAAAGGGCTTCATATTATGGTACACCCGATTGTTGCGCTGTTGCGATGGGGGGGGAGTTCGGACCTTTTTCAATCAAGCGCCGAAATGATTCTCCTATAGCGACTTAATTTTACCCGAAGTAATTGCCCCGCAGTCCCATTCAATTTCTTTGAATTTGCAACGAGCAGCCCGCACCAGCTTCTCGGCGTCCAGTGGGTGCAGCTTCCCCAGCATGCCTGGGACAAACCCATCCCGCAGGAAAAACGCTCCTTGACGCGCAAGCTTTAACTTCAAGGCTTTCTTCCTAGCGAGGGGCCATGGACGCCGGGATGAGACGCAGAGCCGAAGAAGGAGCTCTGGCGGCCAAGCTTAGGGTGAGGAACTTCGGTGTGGAGGCCGACAGGCCGCGATCCTGTCGCTTGATCAAGGAGCGAAAGACGAGCTCCACTTCATTTGGACTTGATCTGGAACAACACACTGAAGGCATGGGTGTCTGAGCGACCTCCTCGACGTGGGCGACAAACGGAATGGAACTTCATGAAGGAGCCGGAAGATCTGAGGGCTGGAGCAACAACACAGCCATCTTTTCGGCGTGAGTCACGCCCTAGAGCAGGTGGAAAGAAAGGAGGCAGAGGAGGAATGGATGTCGAGAAGGGGGGGTGAAGATCAAGTGTTTGCAACTCCGGAGGTGTTTGAGACTGCATTGGCACCGGCTTCAACCGCAACCGCCGCCAAGACCGAGGTCGAGGTCAATTACAAGGTTGATGTGGGCTCCAGGAACCAGAGCGCCAGACGGTGAGCCACCCACCCAGGTAGGGAGCCTACCGTGGGAAACTTTGGGAAGACACTGAGTGGTGACAATCAGCGGTTGAGGGCTGATGCAACGGGATGACTGGAACAACTTGGAGAAGGGGTCCAAAAGTGTGCGGGGAGGTGGTCCGAAGATGAGTGACCACTCCCAGGCCGCGGAGTGGTGGGCAGGAACTGTGGATCAGAAGCCACTCTACGAGTGCTTCGATCAAAGCCACTGAAACGGCTGCAAATCACCGTGCAAAATCCGTGAAGAGCTGATTTCTTCATCGGGGCGGGGACGACTGGAAATGAAGCTTGCATTTTCTGGGGTTTGGCACCTAAACATGTAAGCTTACATTTTCTTCTGGAGACGTGCCAAAATGTAAGATTCGCGTACGTGTTACGAAAATGTACTATTGCATTTTTCAGGCGCTTGAGTGGCACTTGGGGACATTGGATGAGATTGAACATGATGTGAAACTAGTCAGAGCTCATCTCAGCACGACTCAAGATTTGCGCAAAGATGTTTCACGCCACAGACTGCCAACAGAATGCATCATCTTAAATTGGGGTGTGATGTGTCTTCTACTATCAAGTATGATATTGTATTGTATTGAGGTATTGTATTGTGCTGTAGTGTGTTGCACTGTGCTGTATTCTGCGATCATGTGTTATCTTATTCTGTCTGCTTGCGCCGTTTCCCTGTCCAGTGCTGCCCGGCCAACGCGACATGTGTAATCCGCTAACTTCTAAAAAAAGTAAACGTACGCTACATGCGCCCCCCCCAATTGAACGTTGACCCACCTTGTCAAGCTTTTCAACGAAATCGTTGGTAATATGCGGAAATCCATGATTATCCTTGAAATGTAAGTCTGTTGTATTTTTCTTCTTTTGCGGGGGGGAGTGAAAAAAGTAATTTTCCACGTGCTCAGGTCAGGCCACCCCCATTTTTGCGCCCGGTGAGGATATTTTTTCCTCGACATATCAACGGCCATATGAATTTCCCTTCCCAGCAAGCTGCAAGGGGTTGGAGGGTTGGAGTGTCCCTCCAGATCTCCCGCTACTGGCTGCGCTGGGGAAGGTCACGCTGAAAAAAATATATATGCCCAAGCCTTGGGGTCCGCATTTGGCAGCTCCGGTCTCGGCCATGAGCTCGGACACCGCCCAGGCCCACCGCAAGGTGGCTGCGGCACTGCTTCCGAAGTGATGGAACGGAGGTACTTCCTTTGAAGCCGACGGAGGCAGGGATGTGCGAGCTAGCTCGGGAGGTGGTGGTGACGCAAATGGGAATGGGACTTCGAAAGTGGGGGGGCACCCAAAATAGAGGAATAGCTATCGTGATACCAAGTGGTGGGGCTTGGCTTGGCCCCCTGGATGGAGGAACTACGCATGCGTTGCGACCTTGGAAAACTCAGGTGGAAGTTCATCTATACCAGGGAATCTCGGCGGAGGTCACTATGACGCAAAACTTGGACAAGGAGGCGAGCTACAAAGCCATGCTCAACGCGCTCATGGAGTTGTGAGACCTGAAAGGGAAGAGGTGAACACCAGGCCTTGGACAGAGGAGATAGCAAGCGGCGGAAACTGGCGTCCAGGAACCTCCCAACCCAGGCAAATATCAAGTGAACACTTGTGGGAGCTAATTACGTGTGGCGGATTGAAATCTAGATCAAGGACAAGAGCCTGCAAGCAGGAGGGCTCTGGATTGGTTCTGGCCAGGATTGGTTCTGGCCATCAAGGCGGCTCTGAAGTGCCGATGGAGAGCGGGGGGAGTAGTGTGCTCGCAGTTTCAGGAGGCAGATACGCTGTTGGTCGATTTGTTCGGACGACTGGCAGTGAGAGGCGTCTTCGACGGCAACAGGCAGTAGGAAACCATTGCCTATGTGAAGAACAAAGGCTAGAATGGCTAGAATGAGCAGTCCTGGTGGCTGGCCAGAAACGGGCCAGGAACTAAGTCAAACCGAAGGAGATGGATCATGGATGGTGCGGGCCCTGCAGGAGATCTTCCTTTCCTGGGCTTGGTCGGCGCTCAGAACCGAAAACCAGTCAGGGAAGCGATGAGTTCTGGAGTGACGTGAGGATCATGTTGGACCTTGAGCGTGCGGACATGCCCAATACGGGCAGTGAGGAACTTGTGTTGGACCGCAGCAGCAGGGGGACTCTGTCTGGCAGGCGATGAAAAAGGGCACAAGCAAGATTGGTGAGCCCCACAGAAAGAAGGTGTGAGACAAGGGCAACAAGGCCAAGGTCTGCGGTGGACCCTGGGAGGGAGTGGTCCTATGAAGGTGGTTGAAGGAAAGAAAGCTGTGCCAACGATGCTCGTCGAGGGGGATAATGTCGAGGAGCAGGTCACGGACGAAAAGTGGCACCAACACGCAACAGGCGAAGGATCAAGAGATGTGGCTTGGGTACTTTGAACAAAAAGGGGCTACATCGGTGAAGGCAGAGGACGAGTGGCTGGTCACTAAGACAATCGGCATGGTGGGAGTCCGTGAAGTGGAGCCAAGAAGAGCTGGAACATGGATGAGATCGCGGCCTAGCGAGCCAAGAAAGCCAACGAAATTACTATAATTCAGCTTCCACTCATTTGATGATCCGAGCTGGTGGGGGCAAATCCCCGAACCACCAATCCAAACAGCCAATTCTGGCCCACCCTAAACATAAGCTTTGAGCCGTTGGGGAAAAAGCTGGTCGCTTTAGCGGCTGGTGGCTGTTCGTGGCGACGAGCTCTTGCAGCGTCAGGTGGTCGTCACCTTCGCATGTCCCGAAGGTCCCAAGGCATCTCACAAGCGAAACGTCAGTTAAACACGGAAACCTAGCCCCCAGAAAGACAGAGAGAGAGAGACAGAAAGAAAGAGAGAGAGAGAGAGAGAGAGAGAGAGAGGGAGAGCGAGAACAGAGCTTGGTTTCTTGGAACCTTCTTGCTTAGAACCTCTCCCGGGGAGTGAGGAAGGCTGAGGGCCCCCCCGAACTGAAAAACATGTGTGCGCCGTGAAATTTGTTGAGAGATTTCGGTCCTGCCCACAAGGGGAATGCAAGAAGCTGACAGAAGGAGACATACGCTTTCAAGCTCCGAATAAAACAGATGTTGATCAAGCAATGGCGCTGTTGGGCGGGCAAAGCACACAATCAACCAACCAAACAAACAAACAAACAAACAAACAAACAAGCAAACACACAAACAAACACACAGACACACACAAAAACAACCAAGCGAGCCAGCTAGCAGGCAGGCAGGCAGGCAGGCAAGCAGGCAGGCAGGCAAGCAGGCAGGCAGGCAGGCAGGCAGGCAGGGAGGCAGGCAGGCAGGCAGGCAGGCAAGCAGAAGCACAAACAAACAAATCCAACAAAAACGGGCCAAACAAACAAACAAACAAGCAACTGAACGAACGAACGAACGCAAGAAACAAATAATGAAAGGAAGAACGAAATCAAGGAAGAAAAAAAGAAAGAAAAAAGAAAACAAACAAGAAATAAATGGAGAAATATATAAAGATAGACAGAAACAAGCAAGCAAGCAAGCAAGCAAGCAAGCAAGCAAGCAAGCAAGCAAACACACATGCAAACATACATACTAACAAACTAACAGACTAGCACACAAATAAGCAAGCAAGCAAGCAAGCAAGCAAGCAAGCAAGCAAGCAAGCAATCAAGCAATCAAGAAAAAAGGGACAGCAAGCCAGCTCCGTTTGCAATCTCTGAATTTGCCAAGGCGCCGTTAAAATCGAACTGGTTAAAGGCAGCCTTGCAAACAGGCTTCTGCACCCACTGTCCTTGGTCTGAGTGGGCCGGAAGTCTTTTCCGAGAAGGAAAAATTGATCACCTGTCGGTAAAATCCAATGGAAAACGCTTGCTCAGGGGATCTACGTTTGCAACCTTTCCAAGGCTTCTTAGCCTCGCATCTTTGCTAACATTTGCTTAGGTTCAAAGGAGCCAATACTTTTCCAAAGATCTAGCCATTTCTTGGCTCCATGTCAGCTCAGCCCTGAAGGGTCTTTTCTGGAGCAATAAACGCCGAACATGTCAATAGGGTCTTAATTGCATTGCTGTATCAGTCTTCATACAGAGAGCGCGTCTCATAACTCCGAAACACGGTGTGTGCACAAAAAATGTAAAGCCTGCCGTCTACCGCGCTGCCTGCCAGCGTTGTATCGGATGTTGATGGCCTGAGATTTAAGACACCGCCGTAAACAATGCCCGCCTTCTACTCATCACCAACCGCTGCAAGCAGCTCTAGGTTGATGAACAGGTTGAAGCAATTTGCGCCCACCAAGCAAGCTAGGAGCGGATTAACAACGCACAAGTGGCCCGCTGGGTGCCAATGAAGGGTCGGCTGTGGCATCTGGGTTGCTCTTAAAACTGCGGACCCCCGAAGCGAACGGTTTTCTGTAGTCCCGGTACCTTTGCCAAAAAAAAAACAACCCCAGAAGTGCAAACTGAATGCTTCCTAGTGAAGGCATCGACCTCCTGATAGGGTAGACTGTGGAGGAGAGCAGCTGAGGCTGAATGCAAGACTGTGGACATTCTGAGACAGAAAAAGGCGAAGGCCAACAAACAGAGGGCCCAAGTACAATCTACGCGCGGCGGCCTTGAATGGGGTCTCATGTGCCAAGGTACGTGTTCCGTTTAGCCTCGATTTGCAGCGAGTCGTTTTTGCGACCCAGCAGACATGCTGTCGGGTCACTTTTGTCAAAGGTCGCCGCCAGAAACTGCGTGTAGCTTATGCCAGTCTCATGTCCGTGTCGGTGACCTTCACTCTCGAAGACTGAAGCATCCAAGTCCTCAAAGGACCAGTCTCCTAGTGCCAAAGCACACGAAAGGTACACTATCACCAAAACGGTGTTGTGCACAAACCCCGTCGTCAGTGGAAGATCACATTCCTTTTAGATTTCGGCAGTTTCTTGTTGGCAAGGGAAAGCACTCTTGGTGTCACATTGCCATGCCCGAAGTATCTGGAAAAGGGCTGAGCTTTGACACCTGGACTAACAATGGGCCGAGCTCCTCACAAGGATCAATTCCAGCTGAGTTGCTTAAGCAACAATTGTGACTACACGTTGCGTGACAACTTCCCAGCCGCCTCACATTCTTCCGTAGAAAGCCAGGGCAATAGAAGGCAACCTTTGCATGGTCACCTGTTCATGGTAACATGGTTGAACAGGCCAATGGGACAGCCTTCAAGCTTAAGCAAAAGAAAGGCGTAGGAAAGCATACCCAGGTTCTGCAAGGTTCCGCAAAAAGAACTCGAGCAATTTTCTTTCCCAAAAGGACACCTCTCCGAGCTGCGCAGGGCCCGTAGACCTCGGCTAGCTCCTGTTCAGAGACCAGGCCATCGCCATTTGCGTCCAGCATCCTGATCCGACCCGCTTGGCAGGTTACGTTGACACAGAAACGCTTGAACACGCGGAATGGGTGGAGCTGTCTGATTCTCAGATGGACGGAGAAACGCCTCCGAAGATCCATGGCGATGTCCAGTCGAGAAGAACAAGTTGCTTGGCGATACCAAGTTCCAACGTTTGCCATGTCAGTGCGAGCGGCAAACATCGCATCAAAACAATCTTGCGAGCTAGTGTTGCGAAGTCACTGGACAAAATGCCTCAGTCTCTACGCGCAACGTCCCTCTTCAAGACCTGTGCGGCAAGCAGATACAAAGCGGGCCCTTTCGAGGAGAGTCTTGCTGATTGCCTTTGAACAGCGAAGATCTATCAGCTCAGCTAGAATGCACTTCCCAGCTCCATTGTTGGCTGTTCATCGGAGCTGAGAGATGAGAGCGTGGGAGATACTCTGCCAGTTCTATCCTTTAGAATTCCTTGGTTATCACTCTCTCTCACTTTCATCCCTTGACCAGCCAATTCTATTCATCAGGTGACTAGACCTGGCAGGCAAGGAACTTGCCGTGTTTTTTTTTGAACCGTCCCCCACTTTTTACAGCGTGTAAAGATTTCGTCTCGGCCACACCCATATATGCTGGCTCACAGCGCGGAATCTCAGCCGCGGCCGCGGCGCCTGCGTGGCACACGCAGGCTGCGGGCGCCAGGCCCCCGTGGAAAACATCAGGCCTGCTGACCTCCCGCGCAGCAGGGGTGAGACCAACTGGAAGAACGTCTCCCCGGAGATGGACGACGGCTTCGAGAAGGCGTCGCCCAGCTCGGCCAAGCCTTCGAGTTGAGACGCCACGCGCCTTCAAACGGCTCTTCTACAAAGATGGAGGGTCGCCCTACTACCCCCTCGCAACATCAGCCTCAACCACCGCTGGAAAACAACCGCAAGCCAGTTTCTGCGCGTTGGAGCTACGAGGAGGCTCCGAGTGGCGAGTTACTCAGAGGGCATACAAGCTAAGCAGGACAAGATAACTCAAAGCATTTTTTATAAAATAGTATCGGCCTTTCAGTTTCGCGCGCAAGTTACCACGGCCGTCCAGCCGAGTTTGCACGGCCTTACGCGGGCCGACGAGGCCAAGGACATCACAGCTCAAAAAGCTAAAAGCACTTTGGGGCTTGGAGCCTCCTGGTGCTACGAGTACAATATGTGGGGGGAGAACAACACCAGAACGTCACCAAGGAGATCTTATTTTGAACACCTTCCTCGGGACTACTACCTGGCGGTCGCTCTCACTGACACCAAAGCCCTGTCCGCGGGCTCAACCTCACCACCACATGGCGGCACATACGGTAAGTCCGCCAAGGCAAGCCCGCGACGCTCGGCAAGCGCATCAAGTGTGGCCCACAGTCGTATTCACAAACAAGAGAGCAAAGCCCGCCGACGGCACATAGTCCAGAAGAAGGCTGCCTACTGAGGAGCGATCCGACCAACCTACATCACCGGCATGCCAGACAGCAGAACAATGCGTTGGCGGAACAATGTGTTTACGCACCTCGTCGCCAAGTTCCACGCCAAGAGTCTCCTCCCCCCCCGCCCGGAGGAGTCTCAGTTGAGCAGAACGAAGAAGAGTTTCTACGGTTCATGGATCCAACCCTCTACGCGCAACGCCTGAACATGTCTGCCGCACTTTCGAGGACATGCCAACCAGGAGGCCGAGAGCCCTGACCTGAAACACCATGTGCCATGATCAGGGTGACTACGGGGGCATTGCCCCGGACCGTCGCAGGGCCCACGTCGTGCCCAACAACATGCCCATTGCCGGACAACTCGGACGTCCTACCAGCACAGCAAGATCCACCGCTTGCCGCCCAACACTGGTCTGCCCACGTCGAAGGCAGAACACCGCAACGATGACTGGCATCAACCCTCCGACTCCCGCTTCACCTGGACGGGTCGGGAGCGTTGAGAACGGTGGTGACCACAAGAGTGCGACGGTGCAGCCGGATATGTCGTCTCCAAGAATGGCAGATACCCGGTCTGCAACCACTGCGTCGCCCGAAAACTCGCTCTTCGACCCACGGAAGGACGTCAATCCCGGCCAGATCGCTGGCGAAGCGGCCGCAACATCTCAACAAGCACCAGGAGGCTCCGAGTCGTGAGTTACTTAGGGCCGTACGAGCTCCAAGAACCATGAGCCTGGCCGACCGGCAGGCGGCAAAGTGCATCAATTCCGGAACCAAGCCAAGAGGTCTCAAATGAATCTGAAGCCCCTGCGCCGGACGAGAGCCCCTCTTGCCAAGCCCCGCCTGATCCCACAAGTTTTCAGCGCTCAGCGGAAAGGTTGAGTAATCCTGATGGTGTATACCTTGCGCCGGTGCCTTCCAGAGTGGCATTGTAGTACTCGAGGCTGGGGCCTTCTTTCCATTCCCGAAAGATGAAGATCTGCGTAAAAAAGTTGACCATCTTCTTGCCCTTGCAGTGGTTTTTCTGCTGTTCCCAGAAGTCGACGTGTGAGCTGACAAGGGCCAGGAGTGGGTGGCGTAGTGCTGGCAGAATCGTGGTCATCGTTGAGCGCGAAGGCGCAGCTGTCGAGTCGGTGCATGATGAGCCTCCAAGGAAGCCACAATTGCATCAAGAGGTGATGCCGGAAATCTTGTGCGCGTCGCTGGCAATCGAACCCATAGGGTTTGTTGAGGCGCCTCCTTGAAATAATGTAGTGGAAGTGTCCGCGGCTTAAGAAGGTCAAGCCCATCATCGTCAGTGAGGGTCGACAAAGGAGCGGGCTCAAATGCTGTTTAGCCTGGTCAGACGCCTGCCGCAAGGACCACAGCTCGCAAGGAGGCTTCATCGTGGCCCTTATGCGGAAGGACTCAGTCGAACTAGGCTCTGAGAGCGACTGCCACGCGCTGGACTCGCATTCTTTTGCCTAGGCAGTCACAGCGACTGCGTGAGCCTCACCCTGCCCATCTCATCTTGCTGCTCATGATCGTGTTGCGCACCACTGATCCCGTGAAAAACGAGCACAGCACGTGCTCTCTGCACTGCCAGGACAGTGGCACCAGCTGAAAAACAACAGCCGGTTCTCTGTGTACAGCCGGTGTCAGCTATACAACCGGTTGCTGGTGAGCTGTTGAGCTGCTGCTGGGCTGCCGGGCTGTCGGCTGGGTTCTTGCTGTTGGTTTTGTGGTTTTGCTGGGCTGGGCTGTTGAACTGCTGGGCTGTTGGTTGGGTTCTTGGGTGTTGGTTTTGCTGCGCTGTTGGGCTGGGGCTGTCAAGATTGTTCGGCCCAGCGGCACGTTTTGGCACGTTCTGACACGTTTGGCCATCTGGCGCGCTTTGGCGCCTTCCAGCTCACGCGGGAAACTGGGCACACATTTCGTTTGGCGCATTTTGACACCTGTGAAATTGCAGTAGCAGCCTGGCAGAAGAAAGTTATTCTTCTCACCACGAAAAATGACCTCCTAGAGTACATGAAGACCATTGTAGAACAGATTTAAATCGCGCTACTCCTACGCAATTCCCTTGAATTGAACAGCCTCTCGTGGGTCGAACAGATGAATGATTCGCGTCTGATAGAAAAACTGGACAGGGGCCGCGTGGTTGATGTTGGGGGCTCACGCCCTGAGGCTTCAAGTGGTTCCTTCAATACCGGGACAGACCCTGTATTCTTAGGTTTTTTTCTTGAGCCTGTTGGACGGGTTATGGAGCAACTTGACACAGCTTGGCAAAAAACTTGCCCACCTTTTCAGCGTGATAGAGCACCTTTTGCAAATTGAATGGCGCTACAAAGTGCGTGTTCCCAGGATCCTAACTTGAAACTACTCAAAACTTTGAAAGGAATTGAACTGTCGTGCGTTTTCAATCAGAACTTACATAAGTTGAAAACGGTTGTGCCGGATTTCAATTGGCATTCTCTTTGCAAGATAGACTTCTTTTAACTTCATAATCATAGTTTAAATCGAGTTTTGAAGAGGACATATTTCTTGCTGTTTGTTGGTTTCACACAGAACCGAAAAAACCTTTCCCTTTTTGTGATGATTTCAGCTACCTTGTAAGTAGAATTCCTCTTCCACATTAAAACGCTGAAGGGAATTTCCTTTCTCGGGGAGGTTTTCTCAGACTTTTCGTCAGAACTTGAAAGGAGTTGCAGAAGGATGCTCGAATTTCAAGCGCCAATAGGTTGTCATTACGATTTCCGCTTCAAATATGATTTCAATAATAAACTTAATTCTTTCTTCACATTGTATGCTAACGGGGCTTTCCTTTCCCAGTAAGGTTCTTTCAGTTTCGTAGTTCTAGGAAGTAATTGAAAGAGAATTTCAGTAGGAATAGTTCTAGGAAGATTCGTAGTTGCAAAGAGAAGGTCAATGCGACTTCGTTTTTAGACGGGTTTCAATGACAATAGAAAGTGATTTCTGTTCCACAGGAGGTTTCGTTTCCGAATCTGAAATTAAATGAAACTTTACCAGCAAAACACCTAGCAGAATTTATTTCTATCTTCAAAGATATATTGAATTCATGTCTGAAAGAGGTTTTTTGTAAACTTCAACTTTTCCCAAACTAGATTTTAAAGAAGATTCCTGCCCCGCGGTAATTTTGCCAATTCCGTTCAGAATCAAATTCAACTTGAACTCAATTCGCTCAGTCGAGACTTCTAGCAAACTTCTAGGTTCAATGGAAATTGTAATTGGGTTTCCTTTTACTTAAGCTTACCAAAATTCTTGCTATATCAAGTGTTGAAGGGGGTTCCTTTCCCAGGCGGATGTTTTTGAGTTTCGCATTGGAGTTTAAACGGAATCTAACGAGTAACGGATTCCAGCAAATGCTAGTTCCAAACGGAACTTAATATGGCTTTGTCTGGATGATTTCAATTGGATTTCAACTCGCGTTCATACGCCAGCCCAAATATTGAGTTGGACCTCCGTTGCCACGAAATGTTACCCAGTTTTCACATTAGAGTTTAGAAAAACCTTTCTTTGGACCGAATACTCTAAAATTTCTAGCTTCAAAGGGAAGCTAACCAGGTTGTGATGATTTTGAAGACTTAGATTTCTTTCAGCCAAATAAGTTTTAACATTTGCGAATTGGAGCTCTCAAATCCTCGTGCCAAACCAGGCTTTCAAGAGCATTTGCTTTTCCGAGTTGTTGAACTCTCCAACTAATAGAATTTGATAAGGAACAAATTCTAGCAGCCTTCCTAGTTTTAGAGTGGATTTGTATGAGATGTCCTCTCTCAAGAGGGGTTTATAGTTTGGAATTTTGTAAAGTAAGTGAGCGGCAACTCACGTGGGCTCAGGCTGCCTGAAACGAAGACTGCGGCAAGCCGGACCACTGATGTGTGTGCGCAGAGTGAGCAAAACAAGCGCCACAATGAATGCGCCACAGGCTATGAAATATTGCAACTGGGCATGTTGTTCCAAAACAAATACTGTTTTGCAATTTCTAAACAATTTGGGTTAAAACAAACAGTTCTACCTCTTCGAAAGGCGCCCCTTCCACATACCCTTCGTGTAGGCACCGTTTCTTGCCCCTTCTCCGTGTTTCATGCCCGCAACAGCCCTTCCCCTCTCCACGGGCCTCCGCGTCTGCGTTCCAATCTCTCTCCTTTCTTGCCCTTATTGATGGCTCTTCATGCGCTTCGCACCAATTCTGCCTGGCTCCTTCTTCTCCGTGCATCCTGTGGGCGCCCTTTCCGGCCTTCTCATTCTTGCCTTTCTCGCGCTTGTCGTTGGCGCCTGTCTGCACGGCTTCCCGCCGCAGCCGCCCTTCATCTCAGAGCGCCTTGCCCTCCGGCACGTTCACCGTGGCTTGGGCCTTCTTTGCGCCCCCTGTCCTCTCTTCCGCTGTCCACGTCCAAGCAAGTCGCAGTAGTGAGCAGCACCGGGTCAGGCGGCACGTTGTGACACGCTTTGACAGGGAAAAAGACGGAAAAACAAAAGCGCGCTCCAAGGGAAACTCTCAAAGACCTGGCACGCAATTGCATGCTTTCGGGAGCCACCACTGACACGTTCATGATGTCAAAGGTGTGTGTTGCTCTGACTTTGCTGCATCAAATGCGAGCAGGCCAGCCAATCAGCGGTTACCTGCAGGCGAATGTGCCCCACAAGCCCCACACAGCTGTCATCTGACAGCTGTGGTTTTTTGCGGCGCAGCGTGCCAAGATGTACCACTGTGCAACAAGCGCTGGGCGTCCTTGCGCCAGAACCGAGAGGCCAGTTTTGTTTTCACACATTCCAACCCATGCCCTTGCGCAGTGATAACCCGAAGCGAAACTGCTAAACGCAAACAGCCAACAGCGCTGGCATTATTGAATGCTGAGCAAGCACACCCAAGCCTGTGCTGCGCGACCCCTCTACTTATCAGTACATTCTAAACAAGAGAAGATGTAGAAAATATTTGCGGCGCAAACACTGTGTACAAACGTGTGGTCGAAAACGTGAAAAAAACGCCGAGGTTCCTGGTATGCATGAAGCAAAAGCCTGCCGAAACGCGCCCCACATGTGTGCGAAAAAACGGAATTATCACATCTTTAGGGCACATCGCGACTATGCAGGAGTAGCTACAGGCGCGTTGCAGTTGGGGCTGCGCGTGGATTTGCGCGCGCGCAAAATTTCGCAGTGGCTAGTCAGTGCGAGGCAGCCGCAAAAGAGAGCGCCGCCTCCGCACTCTCACACTTGTCCGTGCTGAGGCGTGATCGGGATCCACGAAGCCGTCTTTGCGCTAACGAAAACGTTAGATTTTTATATATGCTGTACTATCTTTACGGAAAGCGCAGGGTCACAGAATTTCCGCCGCTGGCTGAAGTTGCAATAGTTGTCACCGTTGCTACGACAACTTGTTTGGTGCTAAAAAGCCGCTATTGCACCAATTCCTGAATATTCCGAATTTTTGTGATTTGCATCAAGGGCCGTTCGATTGGCAACAGCGCCTTGCGATTGGCAAAAGAAGGTGCTGTGTAATTTAGCTTAGCCCTGCAATCAAATCAGATATCATGTCTCAAAGCGAGGCCTTGCGCAGCATGTGATGATGCCAGCGGACGCCCAGCGCTTGTTGCGCTGGATGGCCCCTCGCTAACCTTTCTGAACCTTCGGGGATCCCTTGCCAAACTTCATGAAGCCCAAACTTCATGAAGCTGCGTCTTGACCGTGGTACATCTTGGCACGTTCCGCCACAAACTGCAACGATGCAAGTTCAGCACAGTTGTCGATGAGGGCAGTGTGGGGCAACGGCCGCTGAGTGGTGAAGGCGCTGGCCTGCTCGCATTTGATTGCAGCGCGTAAGCAAGCCGCATCTTTGAGGGCCTGTCAGTGGTGGCTGCCAGAAAACACAATTCCATGCCTGTCGCTGGGAGTTCTCTTAAGCCCTTGAAAACGTGCCAGAGCGCGCCGCCTTCCAGCCGAAGGGGGGCGCTCTGGCGAAGGACAAGGGCGCATGACATGAATGGCGGCTGCAGCGGGAACCTATATGCAGAAGAGCGGGAAAGGCGAAAAGGGCGCGAAGGGTGCCATGAAGATTGTGTGAAGTGTAAACGGACCACCTTGCAAACGAAAAATCCAAGCTCAAAGCGCCCAGCTTGCAAAGAGCAAGCCCCATCAAGTTGAGCAGAGCTTTGTGAATTGATCTTGGAGGCCTTATAGGGACTCGATGGGAACAAGCAACATCACGACACGCCGGGAAAACCATGGGCTTGTGGCCTTGCCCAACCGATGCCCTCGCGAATAGAATTCAAGGAAAAAGCGCTGGAAAGTGCGCCCAGCCTGCGCGCTCGTCAAGCGCGCTGAAACACACCCTGCTTGAGCTGGAGCGCGGAAAAAAGCGTCAGGGCCAAGCCTGTCAATCCGTGTCAAGACGAGCCAAAGCATGTTTATATTGATGGCGCTGCGCGGGAACCGGCTGCGCAACGCCCACCTAAAAGACGGCTGAATAGATTCTGGTAGCACCCCAACACGCACAAGTGTGAGCTGCGTGACGCGGACTAAAACCAACGTAGATGCAAAACAGAATCACGTCATGCCGCGCAATCCGCGCGCAGCGCTTTCTGTTCTGTGTGCGCAGGTTCTCCTGACAATTGCTGCAAGATGCCCTAATCCGTATCAAATTTCCCTTCCTCGAGCACGCGCGCTTGTCTTGTGGCAGCTGCGGCACGTTTTTGACGACGCGTTTTGACACGCTTTGGCTGGTGCGTCAACCCCAGTGGGCCTGGCATCTCCCACCAGCGTCCAGATTTCGTCCCGAACCTTGCTTAACATGAGTGTTGCACGGCCATGCCAATCCATATGCCCCTGCCCGCAGCGCACGGCTTCAATCGAATCTCGGCCGCAGCCTGAGTTGCGTACGCAGCTTGAGCCATCTTGAGCCAAGCCTGCGCGTAAAACTTCAAGCCTGTTGACCTCCAGGAATTCTGGTTTCCAATTGCCAACCAAGCAGCATGAATGTGTCGCGAGGTATGCTGGTCTGCTCATCATTCAGCATTGTGGCGATGAGGTGCAGCGCCGCCCGCTTGAACACGTTCAGCTTGTCAAAGGACTGGAGCCCTGCACGTCAACTACCCAACAGTTTCAGCCAAAGATGCATGAAAATATGGGTTTTGCAAAATATGATGAAAGGGTGTTGGTTGATTTCTTGTCTCTGTGGGATACCAGGGTGTTTTTGATTGCGCTATGGTTGGACTCTGGCTGGATCATACTTGTGCGCCTCATCACAGCATCCCCTCAACAACGGGAAATTAGCATTGGCAACCAAAACATGCTGCCAGAAACAATGGGTTTTCAGACCCTCATCAAAGGCAAACCCCTTGCCAGTAAGCCAAGGTCAGCCCGTCCAAAAGAAACATGGTACCTCTTAGAGACAGGTTGGGCTGCGTGTCTTGAAAGGAAATGACCGCCAAAAAGCACTCAAACATCAAGACGACCAAAGTGAGCCTTTGGGTGCGCGCGTCTTTCTGAGAGTCTCCAGTTTCCCTTTAGACACCTCCTAAACGGTGCGAAAAAGGGCGCCCGCCCGAACCATTGGAAACAGGGATCCAAGGTTGGAAGCGCAGTTTTGGGTGTATTGCAATGGTGAACCTACCCACAAAGCGGGTTCCTCCTAAAAGGAGCCTGTGTAATGGGCGAGATCGTACATGAGCTTTGCGGTCGCAATATACCCACGGAGGCACACTGACTAGGACAGACACTGGGACCTTTTGAGTTTGTGCACCTCTGTCTGTCTGACAAACAGACAAAGAGACAGACAGGCAAGCAGACAGACAGACAAGCAGGCAGACAGACAAACACAGAGGAAAAGACAAAGAGAGACAAAGAGAGAGAGAGAGAGAGACGGATGGAGCGAGAGACAAAGAAGGAAGGAAAGACAGAGACAAAGAAAGACAGAAAGAAAGAAAGAAAGAAAGAAAGAAAGAAAGAAAGAAAGAAAGAGGGAGAGAGAGTGAGAGAGAGAAAAAAAGATGTCAAACTACATGCTTCACCACTTGCAAATGAAAAGTCATAAAAAATGCTTTTTCACTGGCAGGGCCAATGCTTTTGCGCAAAGGGCCTCTACAACGCCATGTTCAATCTACTTCTTGTCGGGGGTTTTGAACTGCGCAGGGCGGTGAACGTGTACTTGTGTTGGCAGGGCCAGTAGTTCGGCAAATGGGGTTGCGCGATTCATTGGCAAGGCGGATATTGCTGGCATGCTCGCAAAGGCCAAAGAAAAGGAGCCATGGCGCACGTGAGCGGGTCTTCTTACCATTTGGCAGGCATGTGTGTGGTGCTGAGCGGCGCACGTGAGCGGGTGTTCTTACCATGTGGCAGGCATGTGTGCAGTGCTGAGCGGGCGGTCCAAGCCATGAGTGCTGCATTGGCTTTCTTGGCTTCTTCCCGCGACGCCAAGTCGTACCAGGTTGCTGCTTTGACAGAAGACAAAAGGCCCTTGGTCAACCGCTCAGCTGCTGGACTTGAGAAAATTCGGGTGAAGTTGGCAAGTTGGTTCTAGCCCTCAACTGCATCCCTTTCTTCATCAAGCCCAATCCCTTTTCTTGGGCTTAGATGACCTCAAGGGGCCGACAGCTTCGGAAGCTTCAGCCCTGCTTGGTGAGTGAAACGTCACCAGGACATTACCAAGCCTGGTTTGTGATTCCAGACTCAAGTTCTCACGCAGCAATGCGCCACGTTTGGCGCAGACAGTCGCAGCGCTGCAGTTACCCAACAAGCGGAATTCTTGCTCGTCAGAACTCAGAAGCTTGCAGTTTGCCAAGGGGGCCAAGGGGCTACTCGCCGTGCGATGGAAGCCACCAGACCAAATATGGCCTGCTGCGTGGATCTGACATTGCGGAAAGCAGGAGCACGTCTGCGGGACCTCCAGCCGTGGATTCTTTATCTGGATAGAAGACTTTTGCGATTTTTAGACTTGAGTTTCCACATTGCAACTATGGAGCCCCTTGTTTCTTTCTTTGAGGTCTTGCGCTTTTGCATCCAAGGGCCCGCCAGCTCTTCGACCAAAAATCACCCGCTAGCAGATGCGCGGCTACCGCGCACGCAGCGGCAAGAAAAGAAGCGCGAAGGCTGTGGGAAGGAGTTGCAACTGGAGCGGCTTTCCGTCACAGAGCGGCTGGAAAAGGAGCCAACATGCATGAAATGTCGTCCAGTGGGCGGGCGTTTCCAGGATCGACTGCAGGCTGCGCCTTGTGTTGAGTGTCAGAAAGACTTGGCGAGGGATCACTACACGGACAACCAGTGAAACAAGGGCAAGGCTGTTAAATGCAAGGGGGGTCCTTACCAACACATGCCGAGTTTGCAAAGAGACCAGGTCACACCAAGACTTCTCTGCTTTGCAATGGGAGCAGAACAAAGACGGTAGTCAGTGCAAAGTCTGCGTGCGTTCTGCAAACCCTTTTTGCCAAGTCCAGCCAGCTCGTGCCTGAAGAAGATACGCCTCTACCAACCAAATCTGTGAACGTCAAGGCGCTGCGGGAAAACACACCAATGGCGCAAGCTGAGCCCGCGGCCGGACAGCTGGGAGTTGGGGTGATCTACAACATCTTGGTGGTAGGGGTGGCGTCGTGCAGGCGCTAAGAGCTGAAGGCAAGGTGTGGAATAACCAGGACAGTGATGCTTTTGCAGACGCTGGGCCTCGCAGAGCCACACGCTTGCCAAGACCGCTGTGCGCAGCGGAGGTTGCGAAGTACACTTCTGGGGGGCCTTCTCGTTCTACAGGGTTTCCTGCAGTTCAGACAATTGAGCCCCTCTCAATTAAGTGGTCTTCATAGATTTGACCGTGGCTTATATATATATATGTAGTATATACAAATAGGTCAGCCTTTTTGAACGTACACCTTTCTTGGAATGGTGGACGCCAGGGAGCTTATCCTCGTCCATGCCCAAGCTGGAATCCACAAGAACCGTCATCACGGAAGGCTGCAGCAGACTACACTTGTTTATGTTAACAACAACAGCATTGCACTTGTACCTGTAGTAATTGTAACTCCGATTTTAACGTGGTAGCGGAGCTGGGATCCTAAACATAGGGGAGCTCCAGTATCCAGCAGTAAGTACTACAACAACTGCAATAGCAATCACACGCCAAACTACTACGACATGTCAGGAGAAGCAGCATCAGCATCAGCACAACAAACTACAGGAGCGGAGAACGGGCAAACAGCAGAAACAGTAGGAGCCACGATGACGGGAGCAGGAACAGAACAAGACATCGACGTTCAGAGACTGCATCGATACAAACTGTCACCACCCTTCTTTGCTGGTGACTACTCCCAGTGTGAAGAATGGCTGTTCAAGCTACAAGCATACCTCGGCCTCATAGACCGAGACTTCGACCTGGTGCTACAACTAGCACAAGTAGCTACACAACAGATTGAGGATGCAGACATCAGAACACACATGCTAGACCCTAAAGCAAGCGAAGCAGTACACCTCTCCAGAGATCTACACTAACGAAGCGTCGGCCACCTTACCAAGCTACTGGGACCTACATTCAATGAAGCAGAGTTTGAAGAGCAATTCCTACAAAGGGAATACGACATCAACCGCTACGACAAAGACAACGGCACAGCACTACCGCATGGAATAAAAAATGCAATACTACTCAACAAGACCAAAGGCGCACTGCAACAACATCTCCAGATCAGAGCAGTCATCCTGGACTACTACAAGACGATTTCAGCTTTCTCAAGATCGACTTCAGCAGTTGGCACAAACTACAATGGAAGATCTGCACCAATGGATGTTGACAACATTTGGAGGAAAGGAAGCAACTACAAAGGCAAAGGAAAAGCACTACAAAGGAAGCAAAGGCAAAGGCAAGTACAGGAGCAAAGGACACTACAAGGGATTTGACAAAGGCAACAAAGGAAGCTAAATAAAGGAGGATACAACAAGAGCAAAGGACAAGGCTACTCAGGATCCAAAGGCTATGGATCAAGCAAGGGCTACAAAGGCCAAGGAAACTACAGCAAAGCAAAAGGAAAAGGAAGCAACAAACACATGACATGCCACCAGTGTGGCAAGCCTGGCCATTGGGCCCAGGACTGCAGAGTGCCGGTATGGCACATAGGAGAAGGAGAAGAACTACATCCACTAGAACAAGAACAAGCAGATCAGGACAACAATGAAGAACTACCTCAGGATGTGAACGACACGTGGGACTGGTACTACGAAGGAGAAGAAGGACAACACGAGATAAACTACATGGAGGAGAATTGGAACGACTACGACTATGACAACAGCTGGGGTTGGAATGACAACAGCTATTCCGAAGACACAGCAAACTACATTGGAGGCATCAACGAGTCACACCTTACCATTGGACACATCAGACAAGCAAAGTCACTACTACACAACCACAAACTCAAATCACTACTTGGAAGGAAAACATCATGGAACGACCACAGCAAGAGCTTTCAACACTTTCTCCGAGAGGACACAACACAACTGCACTTTGACATAGCAGCAGCAACACAACAGCAAAGAAACAAGATGCGGGACACCATGACACACTACATCATGTAATCCAACCTCAAGTCATACCATCACCTGCTGATCGACTCAGGAGCATCTACACATGTTTGCCCGAAGGACTACGCACCAGACCTACCACTACGACCTTGTGGAGTATCAGTTCCACAACTCTACACGGTTACCAACAAGAAGATTCCTGTCTACAGCGTCAAGTATGTTCCCTACAGGCAGGACAACTTCAGGATCATGATGCCCTACTACGTTTGTGATGTGAAGTATCCTGTCCTTACTGCATCAAGACTACTTGATAGAGAATATGAACTCGATTTCAATCCACGACGCTGCACCATCACACATCAACCACAACAAGCACACCTCATCAGACACTCAGGACTCTTCTACCTACGAGCAGAAAAGATTGACATCCCCGCAGGATTTGACATCTACCCAATGACTACAGACAATGGAAAATCCATTGCTGCGATTCAACCTGCAGAGGAGTTGTACCACTCACACACACAGACCAAGGACTGCGACAGATCCTTGGTGGAAATACTGACTACTGGAAACTTGATGGTGACTACGCCATCAGAAACCACAAACCACCACGCAAAGCATTTTTCACACCACACAACAGCGGCTGCCGGACACCAGAAGGAGAACTAGATGATTGGCAAC